ATATATATATATATATATATATATATATATATATATATATATATATATATATATATATATATATATGTATATATATATACATGTATATAAATATATATATGTATATATATATATATATATATATATATATATATATATATATATATATATATATACGCATATATATATATATATATATATATATATATATATATATATATATATATATATACATATATACATATATATGTATATATTCATATATACATATATACATTTATACATTTATGTGTACATATAAACATATATGTACATATTTATGTATATCAAAATATATATAGATATATGTGTGTATATACATATATGTATATATATATATATATATATATATATATATATATATATATATATATATATATGTATATATATATATATATATATATATATATATATATATATATGTATATATATATATATATATATTAGTATGTATATATATACATTCAAATACAAATTTATATATAAACACAGAAACATATATCTCTCTATATAAATATTTATATATAATATATAAGTTTATATAATATATATATATATATATATATGTATATATATATATATATATATATATATATAAATATATATATGTATATATATATATATATATATATATATATATATATATATATATATATATATATATACATATGTATATATATTCATATGTATATATAAGCACGAAGAGGTATATTAACACGGCCGTGAAGATCTTTATTTATTTAGCAAACGTTTCGAAGGATCACACAAGCCTTCTTTCTCCGCTGTATGCGAAAACAAGATATTAAATTCGTTAGATAATACAGTTATGAAAAAAAAGTTCTGGATTTTAACTAAAAACATATTTAAAGGTAAACACAATAATTAAGTAAACAAATACAAACAGGAACTCAGTTCAATGAATATATACAAATTATAAATCATGAATATAAATATTTGTGAGGTAAAAATGGTTGGTAAAGTAACCAACAAGTGAACAAGATAGTTGCTGTTGTTATGTTGTTCCATTCTGACTGTTTTAGTGAATGTTCTCTTATTACCGAGAAGAATAGTTTGTTCAGCTGGAAACTAGTTCTGAAGGACTTACCTTTGTGTTCGTAGATCCCACGTACCTAGCTTGGTATCTTGGACAGGTAAATAAATATACCACATTAAAACACAAGTCAGAACTATAGTTCATAGGATGTTTCATGAACTTTACTATAGTGTTAGTGTTAATGAAAACAAAAGTAAACTTAATCTTGGAGTAGTTATGTCGCTAGTGTTTATAATTGTTTCCTGATTTCATTGATGAAATCACCCAAATATGGTAGTTTTACTTATTCATGGTCTCCCTTGACAGCAGAGACAGTTTGTTTGTTGGAGAATTTCTTCCACAGAAAAGTGTTAGTAACTTTATCAAACAATTATAATGGGTACCCAACTGTCACACACACACACACACACACACACACACACACACACACACACACACACACACACACACACACACACCACACACACACACACACACACACACACACACACACACACACACACACACACACACACACACACACCACACACAAACACACACACACACACACACACACACACACACACACACACACACACACACACCACACACACACACACACACACACATATATATATATATATTTTAGAAATAACAATTCTTGATGAAAGAAGGTCCAGTTGCTGCACAAAATGTAAGCTCTAGTGATGAGACTTTTAATTTTGTAAATATATGGAATAAAACTGAGGAAGTGTAGGTTGAGGCCAGTGAATGTTGGTTTACGGTAAATACTAGTATGGAAGATGCCGTTGTTATTGGTGACCATGGTATCTAAAATGGGTAGATGCTTGTTCTTTTGCTTTTCACAAGTAGTGTCGTCGATGTACCGACTATATAAAAGAGGCTTGACTTCTGGCGGGCACTGTTCTAGCCAGTTTTGTTCGTGGAAACTTAGAAATGCATTGGCATGGGATGGTCCTAGTGCGGAGTCCATTGTTACACCATCTGTTTGGGTATACAAGAAATCACCAAAAGTAAAATCTGAATAAGCTGGGATTTCAAGTAATTTTCCTTCAACCTCCAACATCGAAAATTCGCCATTGTGAGGGGTCGTTGGAAGTTAAGGGCTGTGATATCTTTAGCAAAAGATATGGAATTGTCAGTAGTATATTGATTAGTTGTTATAGGCGGCGATGATGAGGACAAAAAATTTTGCAACATCGTAATTGTAAGTGCCAATTGAAGAAATAAAGAATATTAGGCTTGTGAACTTTAGGCAAGCCATAAACTATACCAGGTCTGGAGCCAGAAGTCATAAGAAAATTGCAGGTGTTATCACTGATGGAAGATTTAATATTACAATGCAGTCTGTTTAATTTGTCTTCCAGGTATAGTAAATGAATGGAAACTTCAGCTGTAATGCGTTTGAATTGCTTGTGGTCATTAAGAATCTTTTGCTTATAATCACATTTGTCAACAGGAGGTAGTGTAGAGTCTCTTTTTCTCATTTGTCTAGTTATTTCACGGTTAAGGAGTCGGAAGCACCAGGAACAATATATTTCTGTGTACTCAAACATAGGATTGCAAACCCGGATGTTAACAAAGATCGGAATCACACGATAATCTTTACAACGTTTGAGAAGTCGGACGTCCTTCTGCGGCTTCTCGTGGAAGGAAAGCTTCTAGGTCCTCCTGAGGGTGTTGAGTATTGCCTTGCTATATTTGTTTTAAATGTATTCCTTAATAGACTTGCCTTGCCAGACGTCGAATCGTAAGCTCGAAAAGGTATATTAACACGGCCGTGAAGAATCTCATCTTTATTTATTTAGCAAACATATTTTGTAAAAATCCAAATCATTCTCTTTATAATTGAATTTTCTAACGACCTTATTGTCTTACAACATTGAGAACGAAGGCTTGTGTCATCCTTCGAAAGGTTTACTAAATAAAGATTCTTCACGCCAGTGT